CTCTACACTCAACAATAATAAGACCCCTATTTCCTTCCGGGCAAGGGGCCGTTTGAGTAGAACGCCAAGGGTACATTACCGATCCCGGTCAAGGGCCGAAAGGCCATTTCGTCCCATCGTGAAGTGTCTTCTGGCTATCATTCTGGTGGCACGGGGCGGGATCTCCTGGTCGATCCGGAGGCCATTAGCAGGGTATATCACATATCACATATCACATATCATATCACATTATTCCCATCCCTGACACAGGAGGTTTTCTGACCCGCGCAGTAAGCCCCGGATCAGCACAGGAATCCTCACTGACGCGACAACATCCCTGATCACCGCAGGTTGTCCGATAGTTGTCACATGGGTTCCAGTTCCGTGTTCTTCTGTGTTCTTCAGAGGCATTGAGTTCTCCCTGACAGTAGATTGGAGATTGAATGGGGTTCCTTGTGTTAACATGGCTAACCTATGCTCGTCTTAAAATGCCCAAGATCCTGTCAGCGCTGATTACTGATAAGAAAACTACGTAATATGGTGCTGAACATGCGTGCTCGCAAGTCATAGCAATAACAGCCTCGACGCCCGGCGTTGCAGTCTCCAGGCCGTGCGGTTGTAATACTAAGCAATGGCCAATGAACAAATGAAAAAGATAAAGCATCTTAAGAGAGATGGCTGGTGAACTATGTAATTGGCATGCAGTTTAATGCAGTGCAAAAGCAAGCCAAATGCAACCTTAATCTGAAAAGTGTGTGTGTGTGTGGGGGGCGGCAGTTAACATTGCTGCCCCCCCCCCCCCCACCTTGAAAAGTGGGGGGGCATGCCCCTCCCCCCCCCCTGTTCCTACGCCCATGCGGCACGCGGCTGAAAGAACTGTTTGAGGCACCAGGACATACCAATATTGGTAGCTCATTGATGCGCTAGGTACTGTGCCTATTAGCGGTTGTGGGGTTTGTTAGTTCACATTGCATAAATGTGTTTGTCAATGGGGCTGGGACTCGCTCGTGCAAATTTGCCCTCCCCCCGTCGCAAACCCTGGCTACGCTTCTGTCATTCATCCCCTTCGCCCGAGTGGCATAGATGCTGTGCCATTTGTGTGGTAGTCAGGCCCTACTTTATAAACAAGATTATTGTGGAAAGTCTCGTTTGAATCTCGTATTGGTAGTCTACAAACTGCACAGAGGGCCTAAGATTGGTGCATGCATTGGACTGTGAATCGGGATGAAAGATTTCGCATAAAATAGATCGTAATTTTCCTTTTAAGCGCACGCATAACTTACCTCGGCGTGTCTGCGATGTCCAGTTGCACGGAAGGAACTGTACCTGGTCGAAGGCATGGTTTAACATTGGGTGTGGGACTAGTCTTATTCAGATGGCCAGGATCAGACCTGATCTTGAAAATGATCAGATCAGATTACCGCATCCTCCACATTTATAGTTAGTCCAAGAGCAACGGTGTACTCATGTTTTCGGGACAGTTGGATCGTGTTTTTTTAGAAATGTAAAAAACTGACGTGCCTCCATTGCGCTGTTTAGCATTCTTACAAGAGGCCGCCTCACAGGATGGCATCTTGCTGCCAAAAAACCGCCTTTGATGCTCACTCTTGCCCAATGCTCTCACACCACTTTTAATTTCTCCAGCCCGCGATATAATAGCGCGCACCGAGGCCACATAGCGTTGCAAACTTGATGCCACGCTGCACGATAATAGAAAAGACCCAGCGCAGCATTTCTGTGTGACTACTGCTTTCCAAGCGAGGCAGTCGACGTTGCCATGCAACGCCGCCGCTCAAGCCAGTGAGACTTTGTGACGTCACCGCCCAACGTTCGGGACTCGCCCGCCCGACCAATCTCTCAAGCTGTAATGATGGCCCCCTGATTTGGAGCAAGGCCATGTAATAAGGTATGATCATCCGGGGATTTGGAGTATGCATACTCGGAGCATGGCAGCGGGCGGAGCCGATTGTGGTACGGTAAGTTCCTGTATGTTGAATGTCCCACATACCAGGAGTGACACATAACACAAATTTTCGTCAGCTGAGTGTATGCTGACGTTGATCAGCGGAAAATCCACCAAGTGAATTGGTCTATGCAGGTAGGTATTATTCAAAAGCAGCGTCAGGGCTCGTGGTTCGGGCCCGCGACAGGTCCATACCCTTGATGATATTGGGCCCATGACAGGTCGATACCCTTGATGATATCGGGCCCATGACCTGCTCAGCGCTCTTGACTATGTTGATATTCTTGCGGACGTCGATGACCATATTTAACACTTAGTGATATCTGGATATATGATAATATGAGGCCGATGGCTTTGCTGTATTCCTCATTGTGTCGTAGACCCTGATAACGCATGTATCGTAATTATTATGTCCCTGGCCGTGTCGAAGGCCCCTAAGCGTGACACGTCTTGTCGTTGGAGTCGCCGATCGCAGCAAATTCATGGCCTTGGCGATTGTCGCTTGTTGCGGCTTTTGACCGTGTCTGGGCCCCGTCCATATTGATGCCCCTGACACTGCTGATGCTGTGGCCATGAGGGTCCATGCTGGGCCATTGGCCATGTTGGGCCATTGGCAATGATTTCGAGCCTCTGACCGCGTCAGGCGAACCAGTGACACTGATGGCCAGTATCGGTATCGGAGCCTGGGTCGTTTTGGGCCGCTGAACAGGTCTTCCCGGTTGAGTCGGACCCTTCGACGTGTCGAAGCCCTGATTATGTTGGGGTTCTGTGGCTGTGACAGGGTCTTTGACTGTGCTGGGTCCTGACCGTCATGGGGCATAACTGTGTCGGAACGCCTGGCATTGCTGACCTCTCAACGTGACGGGCTGTTGGTCTTTAATGATTTAACTGTTTTCAGAGCCCCTGGCCACGTTGAATACGTGGATGTATCAGGCCTCCTGACTGTATAGAGCCCCTGAACGTGTCCTAGGCTTCTGCCTGTGCCATGGCACTGACAACGGTGGTCTGAGCCGAACCCTATAGCGTTGTCGAGGCTCCTGATCATGTTGGGCCGATGGTTGTTCCAGTCCCTGATCGTGTTGAAAGGTAGGCAATTTCGGGCCCTTGGCCATGTCTGTTTTTTTTTAGGCCACGAGGCATTTGCCATGTCGGGTGTGTTTCGTTCTCCTGTGCCACAACAGTCACTGCCCACACCTGCCATTCTCGACTCGCGGGAAAGTTTCCGGTTGTGGCGCGGAAGTACGAAGGTGCCCCACAATAACGGTCTGCTGCATCAGAGCGCGAGACAGCGTTAAATGGCGGGAAGGCAACAATAGGCCAATCGCGCAGGTGTCTTTAAACCCATATCGAGGTCGATCAGTCTACAAGATGTCAACGCGTCGGACAACCGCATTTTCGGGACAGCACGGTTGCTTTTGAAGGCAGCGCTGCTTATGTTAGTGTGACAGTGATCGTGCAACTTAACAGTAGCAGGGAGGGAAGCACACACATCAAGCGTTCTAGAAATCATACAGACGAAGACTAGAAATCGTTTGCTTTGCGATGCGCTTGGAGTCCGTGGGGAATTCCATGGGACGAGCATCACTTACTGCAGTTGTTCATCCAGTCCGAAATCAGATTTTGGCGCATAGACCATGACCTTATCTGGATACAAACATGTGCTTAAAGTTACTTGCAAAACGATGGCATTTCAGAAAGTTAGCATTTTTGCGTTATTTGTTGCCTGATAAGAATGCAGCGCTGTTCCGTCCTTGAAGGAAACACCTAAACTGTTAAGCTGACGAGCCATTGATTGTCTGTACGAAGCTACCTACTTCACTGTTAATTCCAAGATAAACATCTTATGTAAATATTACACCGCTGTACTTCTAAAGTTCATGTGGCCTTACGCAGCTAGGGTATGAGAACGCCTTTGGCAATTACTTTTTATAACTACGCAATCATTTTTATAAATGAGCGGTCTGGTGGGGTTCTTGCCTAAAATGTTTTGGGGGGCGCACACACACAGTGCGATATCTGGTAAATTCTAATAAAATTGTCATTTACGTAAGCGTCGCAGCTCTTCCACAACATATTTCGGAATTTAACTGCCGCACCAAACTCTCAAGCCCGGTGCAAAGAAACCGCGAACAGGCAACACGTCACGGAGTTCAGTGCGCGCAAAGTGTTATGCGCGTGCCGCTTTGTCAGGGTCTTCCAGGTAGAAGATTATTTCCCAACGGAAATTCTCCAGTGGGCCTTCAATGTGAAACTGTCCATACATGAGCCCCCAAGGAAAATTTCTCTCCAAACTCGAAACCCGCTGCACTGCTTCTGACAGACATAGGATCTGTCATGATAGTCTCCTTTCAGGTAAAAGTTGTAGAGATGTATCAGCGTTTGCTTGCCGCCAATGACCATTTCTGAAAATTGCAACATGCCTCACTACCAGCTCAGCTCGATTCCATCCTCAGAACGCGAGCACTCCGTCTTTGCAGTATATCGGAAACAAGGCCTAAAAGCAGCATCCTTCGGGTCATACCGGTCTATGTGCTCTCGTCTATCACGTTTCAAAGTTAGCACCGCTCCACTGAACAGCTCAAGTGCCGCCCCCCAAAACAGCTTGGGTACGGCCCCCAGGACAGCTTGAGCGCCTCACCCCGGACAGCTTGAGCACCGCTCCGCCGGACAGCTTACACACCGCTCCCCCGAACAGCTTGAGCAGCGCCTCGCCGGACAGCTTAAAAACCGCTCCCCGGACAGCTTGAGCACCCCTCCGCCGGACAGCTTGAGCACCGCTCCGCCGGACAGCTTAAGCACCGCTCCCCGGACAGCTTGAGCACCGCTCCGCCGGACAGCTTGAGCACCGCTCCGCCGGACAGCTTGAGCAACACTCCGCCGGACAGCTCGGGTGGCGGTTGCTGCTTTTTGTCGGCGGCCAGCTCAGCTGCTGCGCACGGAACGGTCCGAAACGGCGGCGGCTGCGGCGGCGGCGGCGGCGGTGGAGGTGTAGGTGGAGCGGGCGACGCGACGCGTGCTCCGGCTGCGCCACGCGTCCCAGTCTCCGGCCGGTGCTAGTCGCCGCTACGCGTCGAGCTTTCCTGGACCGCGATCGCTCGGTGTGGCGCCGAGTTGCTTGGGCTGGGAGGAGCGCGGCGGGGGACGTCGAACAGTTTGAAGTGCGTGCTGCGATGCTGCTTGCCTCGAACTGAATTGCCTTGCTCACGATGGCGAACATATCGGGAAAGGTAAGCCTATCATCAGTTGGAGTGCACATAAATGTTTGCATGACAGTCTTACCTCTTAAAGTTCTTTATCTATCATGTCTATATTTGCATGCCTTCACTCAAAATCCATACGCCCTATGCCAGCTAGCTATGAGATTCAAGGTGGCTTATTTGTATATTGGGAACTGTTTTTGGAGTTGTGTGGGCTGGTGGTTAAGCTGTTGAGTTTCATCCTTTGCACACAGATGTACAGCAATAAGTACAGATGCGTTGAGAAGAGCATCATTCCGGATCACACGGCATGCTTCACGTGTTATGAGATGTGACAATCGTACTAACCTTATTCTCCAGAGAAGGACCAGAAGAATGGAGATATAGATGCGTTGATGTTTCAACAACATGTCCTTATCAAAACGATTAACACAATTTGCTATTCGCTTCGATAAAGGCATGCCACCAAAACATCGACGCATCTATATCTCCATTCTCCTCGTTTTTCTACGAGGAACAAGACTATTACTACTGTCTTATTTATGACCGGAATGTGTCTCGCAAATGTACTTAACAATTATGTTATGCGATGTGTTGAAAATAATGCATCTTCACTAAATGAGGAGATACTCGTGATCACTAGCACCGCCTTGAAGCATAAAGCTGTGCAATGTTATATATATATATATATATATATATATATATATATATATATATATATATATACCCACAAGACAACTTCACATAATAAAAACGTATACTCTTAATGACACTCTTTAAATAGCATTTCCTGGCATAATGATGTCCTGCCATTTTGAACATGCGAATTCATGATGCAGGGGTTCAGGAGTTTAATTAAGGCTCTTCTCACCTACGTCAATCGCATTCTTTACGTTTGCAATTTACTCCTATTACCACAGACTTTGCGCACACAATCGCTGGCCCCAATTGTTTCCTCTATATCTCCTGGGGCTCCACTCGCTCATCTTTGGGTCGCGCTTACGTCTTTTCGGCCACTAAGACATAAAACGTTTTTGACCAGATGTAAAAACAGCATGTAATAACGGCCTGTGTTATTAGTTTCAGAGAATGTTCATTTGAGAGATGGGGATGGTAACACTAACCGCACAACACGAGCAAAACAAAAACGGTAGCTTGTACAAGTGTCCTTGCTATAATTTTCGCTAGTTTGGAGGCCACAGAGCGTTAGGTTTCAACAGTGTAGTTCGACACAGGCCTTAAAATTGCAGGCACTTAGTTCATACGACCGTAGTTAACAATGGTGTGCGAAATGCAGTGTGTTCGAGACAGGCAACCTTCCTAGGGAGTAGCCTGGTCAGCTATGCAGAAATCAACGTTGGCTGATCGTCGCTGGCGATATCACCTGCCCTGGCAGAAACATTTTCGTCCAGCCGGTCTTGTCTGGTCATTGGTCAATGATGGGACGGAGGATGACGTGAACCCTGAATGATATAATTCATGTGACACGGTAAGCGTCACCATACCACGACCTGCACGGAAGCGTCACCATACCACGGCCTGCACGGAAGCGTCACCATACCACGACCTGCACGGAGGCGTCACCCCACCACGACCTGCACGGAAGCGTCACCACACCATGACCTGCACGGAAGCGTCACCACACCGCGGCCTGCACGGAAGCATCACCCCACCACGACCTGCACGGAAGCGTCACCACACCATGACCTGCACGGAAGCGTCACCACACCGCGACCTGCACGAAAGCGTCACAACACCACGACCTGCACGGAAGCGTCACCATACCACGGCCTGCACGGAAGCGTCACCAAACAACCACCTGCGCGGAGGCGTCACCCCACCACGACCTGCACGGAAGCGTCACCACACCATGACCTGCACGGAAGCGTCACCACACCGCGGCCTGCACGGAAGCATCACCCCACCACGACCTGCACGGAAGCGTCACCACACCATGACCTGCACGGAAGCGTCACCACACCACGACCTGCACGGAAGCGTCACCACACCACGACCTGCACGGAAGCGTCACCACACCACGACCTGCACGGAAGCGTCACCACACCACGACCTGCACGGAAGCGTCACAACACCACGACCTGCGCGGAAGCGTCACCACACCATGACCTGCACGAAAGCGTCACCACACCACGAACCTGCGCGGAAGCTTCACCACACCACGACCTGCTCGGAAGCGTCACCACACCACGACCTGCACGGAAGCTCATTGCAGGCAGCGAACCGCTAGCGTTGGCGCAGCCTGCTATTCACGTGTTGATTGATTTGAGAGAATCGTGTCGGCCCGTGAAGCTGCATTAGGAAATTGCATGCAGTACCGTCATGTGGAAAACAGAGCCGGGGGGTTGAAAAACTTCTGATTTACCGGATATGATCGATGACAAAATCTGACGGTTTTGCGAACCACTTGGTGAAAAATTGCAAAACTGCAAACACATTTCAAGAGACAAGACCATATTACAACACATAATCCCAGATTGACGAAACTCAAAGCTCATGTCGTGAGAAGCTGACTGGCTAGAAGGACGTAACCAAACGGCAGTTTTAAAGTAATAGCGTTAAAAGGCCCTGCCAATCTAGCATTGTTGTTTGTGGACACCTGAGCTGTAGCTTCAAGGGAAACGGGGTCATTGGAGCGACACTTATCATAGATTCATCCTGGGTTTTCTGCTACTGAATGGTACAGCGGCTTTGATGTAAGAGGCCGAGTATCGCTGGTGTAGGACTCTCACATTGAGCTCTGCATCTCAGACTTAGCACACTGATCGGCGGACAGGCGTGAAATAAAACGCTTTTAGTTGTCACCATATTGCATGTAAAGCTAAATGAAGGTGCTAGAGGTGTTCAAAAATATCGTTTGCATCTGTTGATACCAATTTTGTATGGGGTTTGCTCTAAATAATTGGGATCATGTTAGGAAGTACGAGTTCTGCACTGGCAGTGATCATGCCAAGATAATGAAGGTCGCTGAAGCTCTCAACGGTTTGTACGATGACACCACGAAAACAAAAGTGATGTTGTTTCAGGTGCTTGTAGAACCATATTATCTGCAAATGTAGGGCCACAGGGAGGCAGTTTTGCAAAATGCGTAGGATTTAGGAATGAAAGGAGAAGGGGAAGGGTGAAGGAAAAAATTACTGGGCCTGCCTCCGAAATTTAAAAGTTTTTCTCCAGATCTGACGCAACTTTTCGCATCTGGCAGGAGGGGTGCAGTTCCTCAGAATTAGCTTTTGGGGCTGAACCCCCAAATTATAATAAATAGAAAACATGGATTAACGTTATAACGTAAATAGAAAACTGCATCCCCACGGTTGGGAGGCACAATCCTGTCCCCTCCTTCCAAATAAATAGGAAACTACACACTTTTAGGCTGGTTCACGGGTGTCGCTTTGCATCCTTTTGAGTAAGCCGCTGTCCCACCCCCCCCCCCCCCCCCCACATGCAATCTAGCCCCCTACGGCGAGTATGGCCCCCTCAGCCTTCTGGGGCTCAAGTTCATGTAGGACATTACGCAAAGGAGCTCGAAATTATCTAAAATTTTACAGGTAAAAAGAACCAAAGAAGATGAAATCTACGATATCACGTCCAGTTTAGTGCACCTGGCAAAGTAAGCCACACTTTAAAGCTTCGCGGTCGTTCCGTGTTTACTTAGGTTTTTCTCGTTTTTTTCCTGTATACTGCATGCTTTTATCTACACAATTTATATATATATATATATATATATATATATATATATATATATATATATATATATATGGTCGACTATGGCCTAGTTTTCTGTTATTGTGGGAGTGCTTTATTTAGCGATGTTAAAGTTATACAGTCCGTAACAAATTGCATTGTTTTGCTACGACGCGTTATTGGAAAATGAAAACAAAACGTTCTAAAATTATTAGCAGTCTTCGTTCATAGGAAACCTTTAAAGGCGTCGACCACCAGCTCAGCATAAATATCTCATGAAGCAATTGGAAATACCTGACGACAGACACCACTAAATCGCTAGCAGCAATCGTCCGACCATGACCTGCAACACAAGCCGTGTCAAACATGCCTAATGGGAGTGATGCACCTGCACCTTGCTTTGTGGCAATCAGCCGGGATTTCCGTGACAGACATTATAAGTCACACAAATCAACTTACACTCTTTGTTCCCGAAGCCGTACACGTCCTACAACGCCCGAAGCCTTGTAACATCGACTATGCGTCGATAACCGAAACCTGGTTTCAACGATCGACGCCAAACAATATTAAAATGATTTCCAACAACATCTTTCGCCGGGACATAGCAAGAAAACGTATTAAAGGGAATGTTCCACATTGGAAGATGTTGAGGTAGGCATCAGATGTGATCGGAAAAGTTTACTTGTAACTATTGGTGAGCTTCCAAGGCTCAAAACGATGCTAGGTAGCAAAATTTCAAAGTTTGTAAAAATGCGCCCCATTACGTCATTGCTTGATGGCGTCATGGAATGGTTTTGTGACGACAGCAACACCTGGCAGTATCAGACAGCCAAATCTAAAGAATACCTCAAAACACACGAAAGCTGACGCCAACCGACCATTCTCGTCGCGGTGTCTGTGTCGGCTGGGGGATTAGTGGGTGGTTTGTTAGTGGATTTTTTTGTCTTGGTGCTGGCCGTGAGAAAAGCTTTGGTAGACTGTTGGACATACGCAACATAGTGATCGCCAGCTTTTATGGTAGATTATTAATATCAAAACACGATATGCTGTGCTGCTGCTGTTGCTGCAATTGCTGTTGATTCTGTCAATGCTTTATCGTTGACCCATCGTTGCCTGCACTGCTGTAGTCGTGACACTGATATCATGTGCTTTGCACAGAAGTTACTTTCGTTATTATTTCTGACTGGAAATGCGGTGTCGCGCGAAAATTAATAGATTTGTAACGTTACTATGAATTGATTGCCAAAAAACGGCTCTTGCTATGGTAAATGTTGTAAGGTTGGGCTACCACTGTTTAGGATTATTTATGCAATTAATAGTTAACCCTGATA